CTAAATGATTCTATGATTCTATAGATAGATCATGCACTGCATCTTGGTATTCTCATTTATAGCCTGTGTTTAATGTTTTTTTCAACAACTAGTTCATCTTGTATCCTTACTCAATGGCTGTAGTTTCCTTTTAAAGGAACAAACATTGAAGGAAGTGGACATCTTTGGGCTGACAGTCCAGCTGCTTTTTAATCCATCTGATCTTTCTTCCCTGTAGACAATACCATCCCAAATTTGACAGCTGGATACTGTGCAATATCATAGAATCACAGAATGGCTTAGGTTGGAAGGGGCCCTAGAGGTCATCTAATCAAACCTCCCTGCCATGGGCAGGGACACGTCTCAACTACACTAGGTTGCTCAAGGCCACATCCAGCCTGGCCTTGAAAACCTCCAGCGAGGGGGCAGCTACAACCTATCTGGGCAATGATCTTTTGTGGAAGATCGTGTCAAAAACCTTATTAAAGACAAAGTGGATGGTATCCACAACTTTCCCTTCATCCATGGCACTAGTAGTTTCATCGCTGAAGACAAGAAGATTGACAAGTGTAATTTAGGCTTCGTATCTGGATACACCAGCTGTTCCCAATCACCTTTCTCTTCTGTGAGCCCAGGATTAGCTTCAAGGAGGACCTTTTCTCATTGTCATCCTAACTAGCTACATGATTTTCTTCAGGTGACAACTTGCATTTATCTTTTTACTACTTATAAAGGACTCTGTATTCTACATATGCTTTTCCTTCAAAATATTTTTAAGAAAAATGATTGGCAAGCAAATTGGGCTACTTCTGTGTTCTCAAGAAGCTTAATAATAGTTAAGCTTGTAACACATTTTGGTGAGACCCATTTACTACATATAAAAGAAGTTAACGCTCATTTTTTTTACTGGAGTTTTTGACCTTTCCGGTAAAAATCTGATAAAGAGAAAGCCTTGAAGTCATTGATCTAGAGATTGTTCTCCCAGCTTCCCCACTGCCATATAATCTTTATTGTTTCAGTCCTTTCCCTTTCACCCACTCTATTTGCAGGCATTTTTTTGACATGGTGTTGATGTCTGAGTGCACAGGTCTGCGGTGAAATTCTTGCAAGCATGTAGGAAAAAGTAAATTGAACCCACTTCCTTCAAGTTTTAATTTTTTTGTGTGACCGAGCTAGTATTTATCTGTTGTAACAGCAACAGAAGGGGATGGATTAGAGATAACTAAATATATATGGAAAATGAGTGAGTATTTGGTTGCTTTTGTTTTCATTGGGGGATAGTAAGAAGGAAACATCTTTTACCTTCAGGAAGACTTAGAAAAAGCAGAAATACATGTTTTGTGTAAACTAAATCCTCTATAGCAGTATAAAAAAATTATCAGTAAATCCTATAGTCTTGGAGGAGCTGGACAAAGACAATGGTGCCATACAACTTTCAGCATCGTAATTGCTAGCTGACATCTGTAGGTTTCTCTGGAGGTGAATCAGGGCAGAAGCCCAATGTGGGAGCTCTGGTTTGCACTTTTCAGAAGCCCTTCTATTCATAGACTGTAGAGACAGTAGAGGAAGAGCTGCTGGCAAAGTTACGTGCCAGAAATTGAGCGGTGTAAATTGTCTTGGCTGTGGTAGGTCTACACATGGCAATCTGGAAACTGCTGCTATTTATTCAAATTTGTATGGTTGGGTGCAGTCTGGATGTGTTTTTCTGGTGATACTATAGGAGGACCTGTGTAATCTTACATTTCCTTCCTTTCCTAAAACCTGAACTGGTAACCCACTTTTACCCTCACATGCTTACAGTAACAGAGCTGAGGTATACAGTTCTTACTTTTGAGCTGGATCTGATGCCTGTCAAATAATCTGAGTAAAACGAACACCTTTGCTTCTAGGTCTTGTCAAAACAGAAAACAGGGAAATTGAGTTCCGATGACTCTCCTTGAGCCTAAACCATTCCCTAGACCATAAGCATAAAGTTGGTCTACATGCGGTCAAACTATATGGTACTAAAGGTCTTAAATTTTGAGATCAGACTTAGCTCCAAATGTTACATGGTGTTCTTGAAAATAGTAACTTTTGTGGTAGTATCTTCAATAGTATCTTTAATAGTACCTTCAATTAATAGGTTTGAAAATCTGTTAGTTCTTTAACATCATCTTGGCTCTAAGGAGATGCACTTTTTTCCAGTTTGTCACCTATTGTTTCTTCCTCTAAATGAATTTCTTTTTCTTCTACATTTTCTTCTATAATATTGCTTAAAAGTAGTCAGTGTGTGTTGAAAATTCTACTGGTAGCCACACTACTGAGTTTTTAGTCCATACTTTAAGAATTAATGCAGAAAAACACAATATGGAGCTGTGCTCTTCCAGCACAGTAGCTAGTGTTGGGTTTTTTTGTGAACTTTAATGAATGACTGGCTGGTACAGTATTAGGAAGCTTAGCATTTCTCCTTATATCTTAACTTCCTTGTGTGCCAGGAATATTAATAGCTTTCTGAACCCTTAGTGGATGATCCAGACTTCTGGCAGCATTTTACTACTGAGTCAGAAGGAGGTCAGGATGAAGCACACAATGTCTTAAGTTCTTCTGTCATGCTTGTCCACATTAATTTCTGATAATGTAATATAGCATTGCTCTTGGTATATTTTAAATGAGATGTGTGATTATCACTATTTTGGAAAACACTCTCATTGTGTAGTTCAGTTTTGTTTTATTAATGTGAGCATTTATTGTGCAGTCTTTATATTTTCACTTTTCCATTTTCTGTTCTCCTACGGGAATAACTGTTAATGGAAGAGCCATTCAGATGTAATTAATAAGAACTCACTTGAGGAAGTCTGAGACTCTAAACTCATATATTTTCTGAATTAACCAGAAAAAAAAGTTTGTTAACAAGTCCCACATGTTCTGTCCTTAGGCTATTGAGATGATTTGCCAGTGTTTAGCAGTAGGTGAAGAAGATTATAACGTGCAGCCCATCTTGCAATTATCAATAGAATTCAAAGTCCAAGCTGCAATAAATTTTGCTCTTAATTGACAAAATAAGTAGAATCCAGAGAAATCGTAGTGGGACAGAATCCAGCAATATCTTGAGTACAATTACTGGTTAATTCAGAGCTAACAAACTATTTCATCAAAGCAATAAAGCAGTATGTTCTTCTCAGAGCCTAGAAAAAGTAAATAAGAATATGAGAAAGCTAGCTTCTACTGGAATTAATGTGGAGGCTGGTGAATAAAAGGATTACCCAAACATCAGAATTTTAGCTGGTTGTTGGCTACAGACCTTGCCTCTCTCTCCTCCCACCCCCAGATGAAAAAGGTGAGTTAGTGCAGGCAAGAGTGGGCTCAGAGGCTGTTCATTAAATGGACTAACCAGTACATGAACACTTGCAAGTCCAAAAGACTGATGTCCTCAGTCATTTTCATAAGCTTCAAATTGAAACACTACTTTTATATTCACAGTGAAGTAGATTTTTCTCAGACTTACCAAAAAAACATTTCCTTGGGGAGGAAAATTCATTCAGTCACAACTATGCTAAAAAAAGAACTGTGAATGGAGACATGAATTTTATTTTCCATCTGTTTTCTGCAGGTAGCCCTGCAGCACTTTGTCAGCTGCGTGTGGACGATGAGATCATTGCTATCAACGGCACAAAGGTCTCATGTATGGACTACAGTCAGTGGGAGGAAGCCATCGACAGAGCACTAGAAACTGGAAACCTGGTTCTGGATGTCAGACGATATGGGAAGAATGGTGAGTTGTTCTGTCGGGCAGATACAGTGTGCTCTGTAAGGCAAATTAGCTTTGTCTCTGCTGTACCTGACAGCCGAGAGCGCTTATGACCCTTACAGTAGTAACACGTATCTAAGCCAAAGTAGTTTGCTGGCATGTCTGTTGCATTTTAACACAACTTGGCTTTTTTTAACTACTCGTGCATTAGAAATGTCTTGACAAGCAAGTCTACAAAACATTGAACAACTGACCTCTCTCTTGTGCTCTGACCTGTTTCTGAGAGGATGAACAGGTAAAAAGGTGTGCAGCCACAACACAAGGGAATACAACTGTTTATTTCCTGCCATGCCACAAAACAAAGGAGGACTAGTTTCCAGAGGATAGTAAGTTTTAGAGCCTCTCTCCTTCAGTCAACAGCTCCTCTCTTTGGCAGGGAAGGGGAGGGTCTTGTGTTCTTTTTTTTTTTTTTTTCAGGGAGTGTTCTGGGTAGCGTATGAGCCTGTGGGTGATGTGGCACCTTTGTGCTATGTTGTTGACCATTGACTCAAACATTTTGGTTCGGTAATCTCTCCAGAATGGTACTAACTGTTCTGGCTAATGAGGGTTTCCATCCTGGCTGAAGGCCTTGGAGCATCTCTAGGCTTGCCATGTGTTTGGTCAGGATACCTTTTTGAAGTCCCGAAAGAATTTTTCCAGAGTTGGAAATGTGACCAGTGACTTCTTCCATGTTTTATAAAGACAAAATATTCTTTTAGTGGGGAGCTAGGTAGAATAAGTTTTCAGGAAGCAGCAGGGGGAAATATAGTGGAGTGAGGAAGAAGCAGGAAACAATTTGCAACTTACATGGAGCCTGGCATGAACGAAGAATTAAATTAGTGGAGAACTCATTGAATAAATTTTAGGGAATTGGTTTAGAGGAATGATGAAGTCCAAATGAAGATTATGATTTGTCTTCAATTAATCAGTTTTGCTAGTTTAGTTTAGACTGCCTTTTTTTTTTGCCCTCTGTGTTTCCTGAGGAGCGTGGACATGAAAATGATGCTTCCCTGGATAGTGTATGAGTCAAACTGTACCTTGTGTGAGTAAAGCTGGAAGATTTTTCTCCATCCTTACTAATGCTAATGAAATAGTTTCCAATGAATACTAATTGCTCTGTAATATTGAACTGCTGTAGTCCATGTTACCAAAACACCTGGTAAACTTTCATCTAGCTTACAACTAACACTTGCATTTTTGGGGAAGGCGGTCTGCTCATAAAAGCCCTTCTTTTCCTTTCTTAACAAATTCCACCTGATTTGTATCTCTTCTTCTGTTATGTGTTGGTTTTTTTTGTGTGTGTGTTATTTTTGTGTTTTCACTAACTCTTGTTCTGTTCTTTGACATTACTGTCTACATTAATTTCTTGATCCTCCACATACCAAAAAGACTGGGGCAAAGACCAGCCTTCCCTGCCACATGTAAAGCATAAAATCCTCAATCTCACCAGTATGGCTACCAACATTATAGGTACATCTGAAAATAAATGGATTGACGCAACTTCTGGAGAACACGTTTCAAATGTTTCTGCTGCATCAACAAAAAGAGATTTCTCCAGCAGCCTTCAGAGTTCTGTGAGTATGTTTTTGAAAGGTTGTAGGATTTGGAGGGAGGCAGAAACTGAAAATGTAATGCCTTGATAGGTGGAGGATGAAAAAGAAGACCTTGGAAATCTTGTTTTTACTTATATTGTTTAAAGAACCTACAGGATAGTGCAAAAACAGAGATGTCGCTATGTACTTACTAAGGGAAATAAGATGGATTAAAGGCTTACTGCTGTCCATTTATGAGTGGACACTGAAGTGAGAAATATTATGATATTTGCAGACTGTTTTTTAATTGAAGGGTATATAGTGTTTGTTTATTTAGAAAATATTTTTGCATCCGTTATTAGTGTAAATTAAAGTTGCAGCCCTAAAGAACAAGTGTATATGTGCTTTAAGATTACTTGCAAATGACACCCTGCCTGCCAAGGAGCAGAACTAGAAAGATCTTGGCTTTTGCCATTTTCTTGCAAACTAATGTTTTTTATATCAGGCACCAATTCATAGCTGATTATTGATCCTCTCGGATGCCTGCAGTTGTTTTATCATACTATACACAGAGGAAGTTTTAGATAGTCTGTCTTTCTGTGGACAGTGTTCTGAAGTGTTTCATAATGTACAGTTCCCATCAGGGGAAATAAGTGATTGGATAAACTTCCACAAATCTAATGAACCTAAGCCCTATATTTCTTTTTTTTTTTTTTTTTTCAGGATACAGAAACAAAATTGATAAACGGAATGCAAGGAGATCTTGGCTCTAATGAACAAAGAGGTAAACCACTGTTGCTTTTCCACTAATTGTGTGTGTTTGGAACAAGCACAGGCACTAAACCGTTAATCATCGCAAGCTTTATACGGTGGGCAGAGGGAGACTTTAATGAACTGAAAGCTAGACAAGTATCACAGGGATCCAGTTACATCTAAACTGGGTGTAGTTTGCTTCCATGACCTGCTAGGCAGTTGAAGAACTAACAACAAAGCAGTGGCAAACTCCTTTCTACATTAGTGGTTGTAAATGTGTGGTAAATGTGTTGGAAAGGATGAAAGAGGAGGCAGCACACGATGCCTTGGAACTGGTACTGCATCGTGTGGAGAGTGAGTCAGTATGACTGACTGATTTCACTGTCCAGGAAGAGTGTAAGGACTATTCAACTTTTTTCCTTTTTTTATTTTATTATTCCTTCACTGTTTCATTTATGAGGCTTTTTGGGGGTTAGTGATTGTTTTACTATTTTACTTCTATTCCTGGAGAATGATATTGATAATTCTGGTATGAATAATAATTACTTACGATACTGTGAACAGTTATAGCCTCACTTGATGACAGTGAGAGAAACCAGGTACGTATATTTCCTAATGGAAAAATAATCCTTAAATGGGAACTTTGTATTTCATTTTATCTTGAATGCACATGGCAATTTGGAAAACAATTCCCCCAAGAGATCAGTGGCTCTCTGGAGATGCCTTTCTGATGACCCTAAGTGGTGATCAGGCTCCTCAATCCAATTTGGCATCTGAGCTGGGGAGGCCTAAATTAGACAGGGAGAATCTGAGTCCAAGTTTGACACTATTACTGTTGTTGTTGGACATTGTTAGTGATAAAATGAAATACTAATCAGTATATGATGTAACCTACTAAAAACTGTTTGTTGTTATGAAAGATTAGATTTCCTTTGTGTTTCAAGGGCTTTTTATTTTTAAGTGACATTGCTGTAGATTGGAGGCCAAAGAAAAATTTCTTATCCAGTGGTGATAGTCATTAAAAAAAAAAAAAAAAAAGGACAGCACCTCATTTTCTTGTTTGTATTCTTTGTATTTTTCAAATAGCATCTGAACCTATTTCTTTGAAAAACCTAAAAAGACGATCACAATTTTTTGAGCAAGGTAAACCAGAGTTAACATTTCATCTACTTCCATGAAATTGTTCCTGCTGCACACTCTTCCTAACAAGTCTGGTGCTGGGTACTATACCTCTTCAGCATTTTGTTGCAGTTAAGATGAAGCAACATAATTAATTTCCCTTCTTTCCTCAGGGTCATCAGGTTATTCTTACAATTCATGGGTCTACCTTTGTGGTAATGGGTCTTTATGTGTTCTTTTATATCTATAGCTGTTTAAATCTCTTCTGTGTTGTTGATACTGTGGTTTGTTTTTTTTTTTCATTGGGTAGGAGTAAGAAGGATAGCATCTCTGTTCAGGTTTGCTGCTACCTACAAAACAAGAATAATGCTGAATATTCCATCAGCGTCTTAGTGCAGATCTCAAAGAGCTGTTGATAAAACACTTAACTCTGGATTTGAGTTTGAGTTGCAGCTCTGTGCTTTGAATTGCTGGAAAAGGCAGCTGCTGGCTTTCTACTATGTGGTGATGGTGCAATATGAATTTTGAATGAATATGCTATCTTCTAAAGACAAAAAAAATGAGAGACTGGATTTTGGTTTTGTAGGTTGCTTTTTGCATTTTGCATGTCACAACTCACGTGCTTCCACTAATTTTTGTGTGTCCTATGCTATCTTCAGACTATATATGCCTTGCTGTTTTGCTGTAGCCTGAAAGAGTGAAACTCTGGTCCACTGGAAGTTCAGTGTGAATTTTGCCAATGATTTTAGTGGGGCCAGGACTTTGCCTTCAGTGGTGGTGATGGCTTCTGTTTGTTGGGCTTTTTTCTTTCTTGTTTCAAAAGTGATACGTGAAGTGCCACAGCATAAATCTGTGTTTGTGGTTCTGTTTGCTTAAATACCTCTGCTGCATTGTATCTGCATTGTGGTGATATTTTACTGTTGTTTTGAGGTTTTGTTTTAGGTATTGGTTTTGATTTTGTTTGATTTTTTTTTTTTTGTTATTATTTTTAGGCTGGCTATGAAGTATTGTTTTTACTTTAATAAATTTTATAGCAATATTTGAAGTATTTCAAAGAATTCAAGGAGAAGGGTAACTTCTAGAATATACACTCAGTACAGTACAGTTTTTGTTCACTTTACACTTTTAACACTTGAGCATTACAATGATATGGGATTCTTTTTCCTAAATTTGTACAGGCCAGCATATGGGACACAAAGATAGGTGCTGCCTGTGCCTCTCTTTAGCATCTCCTGGTGCAGTTGCAGATCAAGTCTGTGCTATTATCACTGTGGTTGTTGCAATCTGATAATGAAGACAAAATTCTGCATATTAGTCTATGACTCATTAAATGTCTTTTGTATTCTAAATTTGACCTTTTCTCCACTTCATGTGGTCACACTTCAGAAAGCTGTTAGGACATCTGACTTTTTTGCATTTTTTCTTAACTGAAGTTGGGACAGCCCAAGTATCAAGTACACTAGCAACAAAATAAAAAAAAAAAAAATGATGCTTGGTAAAGGATTATATTTAAACTTGTACTTTCCATTTTCTGAACTTTTAATTTATTAGCATAATATATGTCTATAATAATCATCTTGGCACAAGCTAAGACAATGCACGATAGCCTCAAATAGCATAACGTTTGTGGTGAATTTGGCTCACCAAGTTCAAGCATGCTTTTGGGAGACTGTAAAGAGGACAGTTGTAAAGGGAAAACACATGAGTCTGTGGTAGAAAAGTTGCCTGTGGATGTCACCTGCTCTTAATTCACATCAGGAGCAGTAGGTAAGCAGCTGCTCTACCCTGGAGCAGCATTCTGGGTATTGGTCATGCTGAACAGTTGGGTTTCACAGTAATAATACTAGGAGAGATGTTGCAGAGAACCTCTGTATGGCCACAGTGGGAGATGTACTGCTAATTCAAGCAATTACTGATGGCACTTGTAAGCATGTAAAGCTTTTAAACAATTATGCACTTTAGTTGAAAGCACCTACTGAATTCTGACCTCCAGTAAGGTCAGTAGGGCAAAATGCAAGCATGGCTTATTAGGGAAGCAAAAATTAGTCTGAAGCTCAGGCTTTTCTCACTTACGCAAGTCTTACAGTAGTTAAGTATGGTTCTAATGATTTCTGTTTTTTCTCTTCCAAATTTCACAGGGGGCCCAGAGCCTGCAATGCCTGATGTAAGTACTATTTGCAAACTACTGATAAGTTGTATAATCCTGATCTTTTAAGAGGCCCACTGCTTTCTATTGCTTTTTATACTGCTTTAAAATTGTGATTAAATCAGAGAGTACTGAGTAAGATTTTCTATCTGTAATGGAATGGGGTTGCTTTCTGCCCCTTTGAAGAAAAGACTAGTTTAGGTCCTTGTCACTATAAAGCTGTAGTGCTTGTAATGGCTTTTATATCTCAATTTAAAAAAAAAAAAAGTTTTAAAATGTAGAGTTTAGATTACATGGAAGGCCATAATATACTTTGATTTCTGTGCTACATTAGCTCCCAGTCCCATCCATTAGTGCTCCTAGTCGTCGGGTTTGGGATCAAGAGGAAGAACGAAAGCGACAGGAAAAATGGCAAAAGGAGCAGGACCGTTTATTGCAGGTATAATTAATCTTCATATTCATTGGCAATCCCTTGGGAGTAGCAACTGTTAGTGAATAAAAGAGCACATGACTCCTGCAACTCTTCTTGCTGATGGTTTCAGAGGACTTTCAGAGACGTTTGCTGGGCTACACAGCCGTGCACAGTAGCTGTTATTTGGAAGAAGAGGACAGTGCATTAGTGAGCTTTGTGGAATCAACCCCACGCTTGAGTATTCGCTACAGGCAGAAGTGCTCAGTCATCGCAAGGCTAGTATGCTCTTAATGGCAACAGAATTTGAAGGATAAGCAAAACCTAAGTGGCAGTAGTCTTCACTTTTGAATATAAGTTCTATTTTTTTCCCCTTAAGAAACTTGTCTCTAGAATGAGTTTTACTTTTAATTAGCCATACTGCCTTGTATTCAGAGATGAAGAGAAGGCAGCCAGTGCCATGGTTAGATGCCTGCTAGCATCCTGTCATTGAGCAATTAGCTAATCAGTTGGAATCAGCCTGTTTCCCAAGACCTCCACGAGTCAGGAAGCTGAACCTACTAATGTGAAGCCACCTTGCTAACCTGTTGCTAGCAATGGAGGGAAGTGCTGCAGAGGGAAGGGGCAATGTTTGTCATTTTAGGATAGAAAAATAAAGCACATGCCTCTGCAAAGTCTTCAGCTCAATGAAGCCTAAGCCCATTCAACCACATTCACCAAGACACATCTCTGCAAATTAAAGTTTGTTATCTAAAGTCTGTCAGCTAGAAGAGATATTAGTGAATGTGATTTACTCTGCACAAGCCCTGTTAATACGTTTCCTCATTCAGCAGAAAATTCTGATGTCAGAGTACAGTGTAGCAACTCTTGTTCTGTGGATGTCTTGTCTTTTGTCATACCTTTTAGCTTACAAACTTGAGAAGGCAAGAACTGTACTAAATGTACTTTTGATCTCTGTTATGGTTTGGGTGCTCTATTTGATGCATGAATGGCTTTAAAGAATGTAAACCTTGGCTCCCCTTTCTTGACTTTTTTGACTCCCTCGGTCCTCTGACTTGACTTTTTTCTTTGCTGTCCCTTTTTTATTCCTGAAGTAGTAAATTTGGCCAGAGTAATAATGTTCTTTCTCTTCCCTCTGATCCTAGTAATGAATTTCCCAGTAACAGGGAAAGGAAGCAAAGTCTTTCTTTGCTTATTTCCAACATCCTTGAAGGAATACTTTTGACATCATTAAATATTTTCCTTTTCCGAAGATGTAAGTGGTGACTGACAAAGCCACCAAGACATTTATTGTGTACCTGGAGTAATGCTTTAAGACATTACATTAATTTCAAACCAAATCCCCATCATAGGACAAATTTGGAGGTCCAAAAATTGTTTTTTATTTAAATAACATTCCAGAAGACCAAGACTTCTTGCACAAGCCACATTAGTGCCTCATATTTCACTTAGTGATCATTTTATATTTACCATATAATGTGCCCAATTCCAAGTTAAATATAATCATTCCGTCTTTCAAGAAATACCTTAGATAGCTGATTTTTTTTTTTTTTTTTTTTTTTAAACGGTAACTAAATGGTAAGATGGGGAATTTAAGATATGTGAGGTCAGTTGTTAAGGAGACTTAGCATGTAATAAGCCTGGATTCTTCATAATGAATTGCAGAACTCCTTTGGATTGTATTTGAGTGAGGATTTCATTCACTCATGGCAGACCTAATGTCCTAGTGGAACTCAAGCATGTTATTATAACGCTGGTCTGTTAAAAACCACATTAAATACCGGTAGTACATTTTAATGCAAATAAAAAAATGTCATGTCTCTTAATTGTATGTTTAACTTTAATCTAATCTAACAGGAGAAATACAAACGGGAACAAGAAAAGCTAAGGGAAGAATGGCTACGAGCTAAGCAAGAAGCAGAAAAAGAGAGCTCCAAGTATTTTGATGAGGTAGGCTATGAATATGGCTCCATCTCTGACTGCTTAGCTTCATGATTTTTTTCCCTTGTAGTAGATGTGTGCAAGCAGGCAAATAATTTATTTTGCTATGTCACTTATTTTCTCATTTTGAAAAACTAATTGTTGTCTGTTGCTTGGCAGCAAGAGGTTGCAAAAATTGGAAGAAAAGAATAAATGGGATGTTTTGAGACCCATTAAATTTGACTTTTTTTCCTTACAGACTCGTTAGGTAACTAACACCAGAAATATGTTGGCAAAAAGTTAAGGCATGTACTAATTCTCATAACCAGAATGAAATGGCCACCTTTGCTCTATATTTGCCTCCTGATGCTACTTGTCAGAATTCTGTCTCAATATTTCATCATGAGGCATGTTTGCAGGTGCCTGCTGGCTCTTCACTGGTAACTGGTTCATCCTCTCTCTGATAAATTTATGTAGCAAATCTCTTTTGCTACCTTTTGTAGCAGGTCTCTTCAGATTTGCTATCATATGCTTCAAAACACTGAATGTGTGTAGTTTCTGTATATGCTGGCTTTTGTGGCTGTCACTTATAGGAAGATAAACAGGCTATTTTCTAAGTGTGGGAGGTGTTTGAGATATCTTCTCTTTATTGCTACGTGAGTGCTGCTTCAGGCATCATAGCTAGATCAGTTGTGTTTGTACAGCCATGAATAAGTAGACTGTAATTTAAGGCTTAGGACTTCAATAAGAAGGTCTTTGAGCTGTTAGAGGAATTTGCTGTACAAGAATGTAAACCATTTCATATCTTTTCTGTCATTAGAGATTTGGATGAACCTGTAAACAGTGTTTGTTCTCTGCAAATAAAACATCTTTTGACCACTGGAAGACCTTCTTTCATGTTTGAGAGAAGAGTCAGAGTGATAGGTCTGAGCCTTGACTTTCAAATGGTATGAGAATGGAGGAGAGCGGGTGTTTCCTCCATTACATGTGAAATTCATTGGACTGATAAATACTTACAGTATATGTCTCTGTGTATACACTTTTAGGTAGGTCTTAGGTTTCTACATCAAAATGGTAGGGAGAAACTCTGGGTATCAAGGCAAAGTTTGTTTTCCATGGGTGTTCACATGGGGATGGGGTGGCTTGAAATGTGAGTGATACTTTAGAGAGCAGAATGTTTCACATAGTTGTGGCCACATAGCAGCCTTAACAAGCACCATGGGCAGTGTGGAATGAAGCTCGTGCATTAGGAGAATGTGTTTTGAGCAGGCACTCAAAACACGAAGCCAATGTACGCCCTGGGTCTTGCAGTGAAAGTGTCTGGGATGCTTTTTGCACAGTCTTCCCTCGTAAAATAAAAGACACTTTCTGGTTGAGCAATGTTTAAAAACCAGCTCTCTTCCCTTAAAACATGAGTTGGTTTATTTTTTCCCCCCTTTGCTACAGGAGCAAACTGCCCTAACCTTGAACGCGACGTCTGTCCCGGCACGGGCTCCATCTGTGTCCAGCTGGAGAGCAAGCCCTGAAGTGACTGTTCCTGAGCAGGCAGAAGACGGAGGAAGTGAGCTGGCGGCGCGCTTGCTGCACGAGGAAGAAGAGGGGAGGAGGCTTCAGGAGGAACAGAGGGTCCAGGAAGAAGCAGCCCAGCGTTTTGAGCAAGAAAGGGAACTCCACGAGCTGGAACTTGAGAGACAGCGTGAAGAGAGGGAGCAGCAGCATGCTGAGGAGCAGCGGCGGCTGGCTGAGCTGGAGGAGCAGAGGCGGCAGGCTGAAAGGCAGAGGGAGGTGTCGGTGGAAGCACCTCAGTACCAAAGGTATGCACTCCTGGTGGGATGTGCTCTCTCTTCTGCAATAAAAGTGCATTTCTAATGGGAGTGTGTATGTCCTGAGTATACAAATGTATTCATGTACGATTCATACTGTAATCAGTTAGTGAGATACCACAGGATAACTATTCTTCCTGAAGGTAGAAGGGTCAGGCATAAGACAGAGTCTTTCTCCATGAATCAAGTGCTATATCAACCCAGTTCAGCGTGCTTTATTAACCCACCTCAGCTCATTTTTTTTAAATAGGTGGTATCAATACCATAATTACAGCCAAATCAAAGAAGACCTGAAGCTCTTAGTGTGAAGATTTTGGAAGAACCCTGATTAAGCTTGTAAATTGAGAGCAGTGGCTCACCACACAGGACTATCAGAAGAAATACCACGTTAACACTATTCCAACAAATGCGTGACTGATTTCCCAGACTCTTCTCTCATTTTAGTTCCACACTGCAACAATAGAATTTAATTGCACTCCTGGGTTAATTCATCGATGAGGGATATCATGGTATACGAGTGAACAGATGCTGGCTTAGATATCGTAACTTCTTACAAATACCCAGTGTGACTGTATTTATTCTAGAGCATGAAAAAATGTCTTTCACTACCATCACTACCTAATTCATTATTCAGGCTTTTTCAACAGCTTGGTTTAAAACAAAGCAAGCCGAACCAAACAAACCCAAGCACACACAACACCACCACACCCACACACACCCCCATCTCTCCCCAGTAGTTTACAAGTTCATGTTCTTGCCCAGAAGGTTTTTTCAGTATTACAGACATCATGGGAGATTAATTGGTCTGGAACAGATTAAGCCAGTAACTTTTCTATGTTTCTTGTGAATTTACCTTACTGCTTTGTGTATGACTAGCTTTGCTGTTTCTCTTGAGGATTGTTCCCTGTTCTTAAATAAATAATAAGAGATGACTGAAGATAATGCATGGTATCAAGTTAAGTCATAGAAGAAAATATGGTTATAAAATTGCATCTATTAGCCAGAGGGATTGAGGCCTGGAGTTACTTTAGCTGGTTGTAAATGACTACTGCTTGAGATCCTTGCTGAGCAAAACAGAGGCGTGTTTGTTGCAATGGCTGGACAGGTTCTTCTTGGCAGCTGAGCCAGGGCATCTGCAGTTTTAGCTTGTCTCAATTGCAAGATAATAGGGCTTTGCGCAGCAACTTATTAAGCTCCTCTAATATTTATTTATCTAGATCCTTGATATATACTTAAGTCCCAGAGAATTTCATTGTGTCTGAGGTTTTTTCCAAAGAATGCGTTTTGCTAAACAAAGATGGCTTTCCTGAATAGTAAAGGAGCGAGTTCGGTGAAAGTGAGATTTAAAATATCTGGCCTGAAACGTTTGCTTTACAGGGATATCCAAAGATATGACTTGCAACTTGAAATCTTATATAAAACTCTGTGAAGGCAGGATACTTGTTGCAAAGAGCACCCAGGCCAGAGCAATGCAGCTGGAAGACCTTAGTTTGTGGAAGTTAGTGTTTCAGTTTTCTAGAATATACACGTAACTGTTAAAGAACTGCTGTGTTTGGACAGAGCTTACCTCCTGGGTCTGAAAGGATTGAGATAATCACTGTCATATATTGATATTTTTAATTTTTGCAGCATCTTAAAAAGTCTTTGGGTTGTTTTTTTTTTCCCCCTCATATTTTCATGTTTCTGACTAACACATCTGAACTTTCTCAGTTTTCTGTATGTATACATACTGCTTGCTCAAGTTTTAGAAAGTGTCTTGTTGTTTAATACATATTTTATTTGTATTTTGCTTTTAGACATTATGAGCGCTACGAAGTATCTAAAACAATAGAAGAGCGAGCTGGTCATCCTCTCATTGACAGGTAATGAAAAATGGAATAGCCAGGTCAAAACATCTTCAAGAGTAAGTATTAACTGTTTTGATATGCTTACATTTGGAATCTTTGTCAGTTACAAAAACGGTAATTTCTGGCAGTTGTTTTGGCCGCCTTTCTTTTTCTGCCTTCTTTTGTTAGTTGTTTCCGAGCAATAAAATTGAGCCTTCCCGGAACATTAACTGTTCAGCATTTTCCTTTTTATTCCCTTAAGGATCGGGTTTTGACATTTTTAGTAGGAAATATTTATGTCTATCTTTTTCTGTATATGAACAGAATCTGTCTTTTTTTTTTTTTAAATTTTGTAGACATTATGAGCGTTATGAAGTTTCCAAAACCACTGAGGAACAGCCTGGCCAGTCATTTGCTGACAGGTATGTGTGATACTGAATCTCAGCATAGGCTGTAACCTCACCATTCGTATGTCAAAAAGCTTTGAAACTTCCAGTAAACGTTAGCCATGGCAGCTAAGTATGTACTTTATATTGCTGCTGTATTTTGCAGTTTTTATGGCCTGCTTTCATATTGAGAAAACAAGTAGACGAACTTTTGTTTACAGCACAGTGTATAATTTGCCAACAGTCAGTCAGCAGGATTTTACTGGGAGAAGCAGAACTCTAAGGAAGTAAATATGTGGGTGGTACTAGACTTATCTGGCTGGAAAACAATTCCAGATAATATTGTGATTGTGTCATAATGTGCTATACAAACTAAGGTGCAGTCATCTCAATCAGGATTGTGCAACTTGAGAGAGTAAACAAGGAGGGAAGTGAGAGGTGGCAGCAGCTTATTTATCAGGAAGATAGTAGATGTGCCACTTGTTAAGTTAATACCTTGGCTATATTCTGTTTTGCTTGGTGGTTTGTTTGGGGGGGTTATTTTTTTTTTTTTATTTTGTTGTTGTTGTTTCGTTTTTTTCAATAGAATATATTAGCCCCTGTGGATTTGGGGTCTTTGAATAGACAGCTTTTTCTTTTGCCTTTTAGTAATTGGGTTATGGTTAAAAAATGCTGAAGTTACCTAAAAACAGAATGTTTGCATAAAACTGTCTTAGGTGGCATCCCACAGTAGTTCTGAAAGATCACATCTGCTGCATAGTTAAAAAGTTCTTACAGTTGGAGTAAGCATGCCTGTTTTTATATATATAAAGAGGAACCCCAAAAAAATTACAGGATACAACTAATGGATCTGTTAATGATGGAAGATCTAATTTAACTTTGAGAAGGTGCCTGCACTGAATAGTTACATCCTGAATGTATGTCTGATGTGGACACTTGGATGCTAAAAGCATCCCAGGCAAAGCTGACCTGCTAGTTGAAGCCCCAGTTTACTACTAGCAACTGTGAAATTCTAGCATCTTCTCAAACAGATGATAAAGGAGGTCTGCACTACAGGACAGACAATCAGAACTTTGGGGAGCAAGAAACGTGATGCATTTTATCCTGAAATTTTCTGTAGACAGAGGACAAGACTCCCTCCAAATACTGTTACGCCGTCAGTTCTCTGTGTGTAAACACATTAATGTAGCACCTTTGAGTTGTGACCCAGCAAAGGGTTTCTCTTCCTTTCTGAGGTATTTTAAACTAATAGACTGGTTATATTACTTGGGACTAACACAGCACAGAGGTGTTGCTGAAGCTCCTGCTCTGTACTGTCAGAAAACCAGCTTTTTGCCATTCGTCCTCCTGTATATTGAATGACGGTTCTTTGCCGAAACTCATTAAAAAAATATGCTGCTGGGTATAATCAGTGAATAATTAATTTCCTGAGAACTATCTGCATGCAGTATTTGAGGAGGTGTTTTTTGCTTTTGGCCTGGTAACAGTGCTGAAATATGACTTAAGTTTCTTGTGAAGTTAAATCATTTATAAACCTGCTTTGAAAGTTATAATTTCTGACTATCTGACTGTAGTTTTCACAAAGCTTCCACAGGGAAGGACTTCACGTTTTACATGTTTTTGTTGAAGCAAATACAATCATCTGTCCCTATACCTGAAGCACTGGGAACTTCAGTACACACTTCTAACTTTTAATTGGTGATTACCTACTGACATCCAAATACTGTAATCTTTTTTTCCCCTTAATATCCTGTTGACCTTTGAGTATTTTTGCCTCTGGTTTTAAGTACAGTATAAGTTGTTGATCAGAGGGATAGTGAAAAAAGGGGCTGTATATCTGTGATCTATGATGGTAAGATCTTTGTCCATGAGGAGGTCTCCTAGTTGAGATAGAGAAATCAATGTTTTCTATATCCTTAGGAATAAGTCCAAGTCAACTTCAGAACTGAATGAATTCAACACAATCAGAAATGGTAAGTACTGTTTAGTTTCTATTATTTTAAAAATTTATTTTGTTGAAAAAAGATGTGTTGGACAGAGTCATCTAAGAAAATTAGTTGTCAGAGTCCTTTTTGATAGCTGCATTGTAATTCAAATTCATACCATGCCCTAGTTTAATGAAGTTTCAACATCAAGGGGAACTTCATAGTCAACATATAAACCTAGGACAAATATAATTAACTGCTCTCCTGAAGACAGTAGCAGTGATTACAAACAGATCTTAGGTGCCTAAGGTTTAGATTACAAATATTTATATGAGATTAAAACAGTCCTGTAGGTACATCATTGAAGATGCAACATATCAAGAGCACATAGCTCTGACAATAGCATCTTGGTATGTGCAGATTTTGTTGATGTATTAAATATAACTGTTTGCTGCTCTTAATTCCTGTTAGTGTAGGAGTAGCACAGCTACAAGTCAGTTCTCAATTGTTACAGTGGCTGGTTTCCTGGACTCCAGTTTCTTGCTGCCTGTCTTGAGTTGTTCTTTGATTGCATTACTGTGTTTGTAAAGGAATGTGTGTAAAGCAAACAAGTCAGGTTTATAAATACGCTGCAGTAGAAGATGCCTGAAAACTATTCCTGTGTCTAAAACCTCGTTAAATAAAGTAATCCAAGCAATCATGGAAAAGTAAATGGTGCACTGGATGATACGTTGCAGATTGACTGACAGTGTTACTTTCATACATTAAAGCTTGGTCATTGAAACTAAGAAGCGAGTAAGCTTTCATAATATTTTACAGTGATAACCTATAGAAATAAAACCAAGAGCAAATCCATAGTCAGAGCAACGTTTAAAGGAATTGAAATTTCAATCAAATGACATTACTGAGTAATTTTCTCAATTAGTCTTACTGTAAAGAATAGCTACTGGATCTAGGAAATACAGGAAAAATTGTTGCCTTCTAACATGTCAGTGCATCCTGGAGAAAGATGACTTGTTTGTTTCCCCTTCCAAAGTCCATCTATACCATAAATCTCGTTTGAACGGACTAGTTAACATCCAAATAACGGAAACTTCCTGTAAGATTTCCTTCTGCCCCCAAACATATACATACATATTTATATAAAGCAATGTCTTAGTGCCTTGAATAAGAAAAGAATTCTTGAAAGAAGGGAAAACTTTCACAGAAAAAAATCTGAACTCTTCAAAGTAAAAAAGATATCCCAGCATTCAACCATATATTCTACATATGGTTCAGTTTGTATTGGGGGAAGAGCCCAAATGGTGGCACTACAAGAGATCATGCCCTCTTTAAAATAGGGAGAGGTGTGTGTGTGTGTATGTACACACAAATCTATATGCACATACACTTGGGAAGTGAAGGAAAATACCTACTTGTATTTAAATTAAACATCATATAAAAGATCACATTAGTGGTAAAACAAATTTTAAAATGTTAATAAAAATTATGTATTGGGAAGGTTGATACTGGTCACCAGCTGTAAAAAGGAACTGGAGCAGGTTCTGAATGTGGTGATGAATGACTGGTTTTGCTGTTACAGCCAGAACACTGACTATGTGATAACAGCTTTTGTGCCTCTAAGGTGTCTAGCTAAAGTTTGAACATTTTGTCCAAATAGGTACCCAGAGCAAGTATTCAGAAAGGTCCTGGCACACAAGTGAGTCACAAAAGAAGTCTCAGAAGGAGCACAACATGTCTGCAGCAGAGTTGGAGAGACAGCAAATCCTTCAGGAAATGAGAAAGAAAACATCTCTGCACACAGACAGCAGCTGGATTAGGCAGCGCAGTTCCAGTATACATAAGGAGCCTGTTAGCCTCTATGGCAACAGTATGAGGAGGTAGGAATGGCATTAAAAATTAACTTTGTCTCTCATCAAATATTTTTGTTTGGTTATTCTAAACTTCAGTTTGTATTATAGAGCACAAAACCAAATCAACTCTGTGAAATGCAAATCAACTCTGTGAAATGCTGTAAGGTAAACTGCACAGCAGTACAGATAGAAGAAAGTAGCTGTATTACAGCTGGGGTTAAATGTGTGGGTTTTTTTTTTCAAGTAAAGAATGTGGATGTGATCTGTAAATAATTCAGCTGCATATTACTTTGTTGGTGTACTAGCAATGGAAGTGAGTAGTGTGCCTTGTCATTGACAGATGTGCTTAAGAATTTCAGCATGATAATTTATTATGGAAATTAATTACTACGTCTAAAGAGTCTACATTTTTTTTACACAGAAATATGTCAAAGTCTGGAGTTTTTCTTGCTTTAAGTAATGTATGAATGTTTGATTTGTCACTTAGGAAACAGACGAGTTATCAGTCAGGAGAGTGTTTAGCTAGGGGGCCAACACCTTGTACCTAGACAATGCTATCCAGTCTGGGCGGATTGTTATTTTTGATCTGGTATCCCTTGGAGAAAACAAAAACACACCTGGTATCTGAAGTCAGCTGCTGTACAGTGGATTTTGATACAGGTCACTCTGATAAGGCTGCAATGAAGGGTGGTTTGTCTTTATTCTGCAGTGGTTAAGTGCCACCTTTTTTCTCTTCACCTGCTTTTTTCCATGAGACTAGGTCAGGACACAAAGGATTATTTGCTGCTCAAACATTTTAAGTACATGAAGAATATTCTTCAGGGTGATCAGATAAGCATATCATACTAGTAAATTTAAAAAATGCTAGGGTCGTGGTTTTCTTTTTTTTTTTTTTTTTTTTTAAAAGCAGAATACAGCTCCAGCCATATTGTCCTTTACACTTTACTGTGTAACACTTCTCTGTTTACCTCTCTTACAGAGGGGAGTCCTTGGACAATCTTGATTCTTCAAGAACAAGCTCATGGAGGCATCACTCGTGGCTGAATCAGTCTGCCTCCTCTTCATCTCTGTCCTCTAGTCAAGATTTCAGTCGCCCGGTGTCCACTTCCAACCGAGCCTACATGTGCACTCCTTCCTCCAGCAAAGCACCTCCCCTGGCCACCTCTGCGAGAGCCCCCTCTGTGTCCCAGCCAGTCCCCCGGGCCCAGTCTCCCCTCTCTGCTTCCCAGCCAGGGTCCCAGGCACGCAGCAGGTGAGTGGGTGCCCTTCTGCTCTGAAGCTAGAAATGGCAGGCCACACTAGAGAGCAGATTTTGTGGTCTACAACAAAACAGTGCCCATAACATTGATTAATAAGTCTGAAGAGTATCTGGGGTTTTCTGGCTGGTTGGGATGTTGGAAACATGGGCTGGTATTACCTCCCTACCCCAGTCACTCAGAAAATTCCTCAGGTTTGTCATCACTGCTTGACATCAGTTAAAAAAACAAAGCAACTGGAGTAATAAATTTCCAGTCTCCAAGCTGTATGTTGGTTACCAAACTGATTAGGAAAAGCCTACTCCAGATGGCATTTTTGACATTTATTTTCTTAGGTTTGTTTTAACAAAAGATTCCTGAAACCCACGCTTTATGGCCCTCATCTTGGTCTCTTCTCCCCCTTCCTGGCATGTGGTCAGTATCATCTCAAGGAGCACTCAGGAATGCTCGTAACCCATGACCTTAGAGAATTACAGAGTAGGAAGTTGGTTTTAATCTAGGAGGAGAAAGCAAGAGCTGCAACATATTTTGAAGCAACGATGGAATTCAGTTGTGGTAGGGTAGATAATTCCACTGTTTTTGTACTTGAAACATTTTAAAAATATATTTAAAAAAAATGTAACAGCATTGTGAACATGCTTCACTAGCTCTTACACTCAGACACTTTATGATAAATTGACGTTTTTTTCTAAAGCTAGGCTCCTACATTCTTCATAATATAAGACAATTACCTTCTTAACCATGTTTGCTTATCTTGTTCTCACTTTCATTTGCTGAAGTCTTGGTAGATCTAAGGAAACTGACCTCCATGTGACTTAGGCTCAGAGTGTTACCATAACACTATGTCCAGGACTAGCCTTCTGTTATCTAACAAGGTGCAGATGGTGGGTCTTGGCAGGGGTATCTTTTAAAACTTAGCCTTTGGGATAATTCCCCACAAATATGAAATAAAGCAGGAGCAAAAAACCTGCGTTCTTACTCTCCCCACTTAACAAGATACTTTGTTTATTTGTAGAAGGTATTTTATACCTAGAAATATGGCACAAGAATGTGACTTTATTTTCATTTGTTTCTATGTAGCTTTGATCTAAGTAATACTTCAGCTTTCCCTAGCTTTCAGATCTACTGTAAAGAATACTAATTTTCAGTTTATTTACCCCAAGCAGCCTAATAGTCCACTTTTTACCAGTGTGTTTTTATTTTGATAACATTTCTTTGTCTTTTAAACCTTTTCAAGCTGGTTTTAAGGATTTTCATTCTATATTTAGGTCAGTCAGTGGGAAGAAAATCTGTTCGTACTGTAATAGCGTTCTGGGCAAAGGAGCAGCCATGATCATTGAATCTCTTGGTCTTTGTTATCATTTACAGTGCTTTAAGGTGAGAGCTGGGAGTCACATCGTGGAGGAGGAGGAACTAATCAGGAGCACGCATGGCTACTCAGTGTTATGCTCACAGGGGCTCTACTAATCACCTGCTTTGCCTTCTACTCTTGACAGCGTGCTGCATGCATATTTCCATGAGGCAATCCTATCTGCCTGCAGGCATTTAGCACTTAACTCTAAAAGTATTTCTGAAATGTCAGAGCTAACAAGTAGGACTTTGACAAGTAAGATGGGCACGTTGCCTGTGAGATAAGAGTAGTTCTTTGGTTAGGCAACAAAAAGTCTGAAGGTGCTGAGCCACTCCTCCCAGAGAAAGCAGCTCTTTAAAATAATCATCTCAGCCTGGGCCCTGGCAATCGAATCATTTAAAGGTGACCCATCGCTTCTAAACTTATCCTACCAGGCAGTGTTCACATGGTGTTTTGGGGCTAAGGCATGCTGGCAGTGTTCAGCCTGGTGGGATAAAACCCGGCACCAAACTGGAAGCTCTAATACTGCTCAGCCCTGCTCAGAACCTTAGGTAGATTAGCTCATCCTAGGTGTTGGGACGTAGCTACATGATTTCCAGGCAGCTTGAGGCATACACAAAGCTGAAAGAATAAATGCCTGCCTGCAAAATGTGTAAAAGCACCCCTAGTTCCCCTGCCCTCAGACAAGATGAGGAGTTAGACTCTGATTTGGAGGTGGTATTGGACCCTACTTCTTCTATGGCTTTAAGAAAGAGACTTCTATATCTGGTTCAGAACACTGATTTTCTGTACCCAGCTCAAATGCATCACCTGGAGTGTTACAAGAGATTGACTCAGAGCTCTTCCTGGTCCTGCTTGCTTGAGTAGGAAGGACTGGAGTAATCCATGGGGACTAGTCATCATTTTCTTTCTGCAGAACATGTATTCTATGCAAAGGAGCCCACCTGCAGCTCCTAACCTATGTAAGAAAATAACAAATTTCTGTTTTTCAAATTTCTGAAGATTGATGAGCTGTTGAACAGACTGCCATCCAAAAGATTCATTACTCATTTAAGCAGGCAAACTATCTGTCTTTCTGTATTGAGCCAAGAACTTTGCTTTGTAAATTCAGTAAGGACAGGGTTTGTTTTGGATTGCATTCCTTCCAGCAGTAGGTAGACATGTTCAGCCACCATAGTTAAGTAGCTTAATGTTGTCATGAAAGCTGTCAAGCCCCTTATTCATGTGTTTATTCCACAAAAATGAAATTGGGCTCCTTCTCTCCAAATAACTGAGTCCTCTGAGTATTTGCTGCTTTGAGTGGCAAAGGGCTGAGGACACCAGAAGCATCTAGTGCCCCATGGAAATCTGCAAGTAGTACACCCAGGTGTTCTGTGCCAAAATTGCTCATCATCTAGAGAACAATTTTTTTTTTTTATGTTGAACCAGTTTTAGTTTTCCAAGAAAGCAAAGTTGAAATTAGATTTAATGAACTAATCTTGAAAACCCATCTGCTTTATGTGTGCTTAGTTGATGTATCTCTGCTGTTCGTTGTCCAGTCATCACCGTAAAACACTTTCTCAGGGTTGGTTGCATCTTGATCTACTAATCGTCCTACATTTGCTTCTAGTGGTTGTGGGTTTATGGTTCAAGCTTTGCTGAGCTTAATCCAAGCTGCTTTAGAACAGCCTTTTCCTTTCTGTGTATTTTGTAAGGAGCTGCTAATTGTTTCTCTCTCATACAGTGCGTTGCCTGTGGGTGCGACCTTGGGGGATCCCGCTCCGGAGCCGAAGTTAGGATCCGAAACAACAAACTCTTCTGCAACGACTGCTATATCAGATTTAAAAGTAAGCAATCCAGCTGCCCTGTGCTTGGACATGCTGCTTCTGTGCTGTGCAACCTCCATTGTTGGCACAGCTGAGACACTCCGTAGCTTTCACGTTTAGCTTTAACTTGGTGTAAGTTTACATATCAGTGAATAGCTTCGGCAAGGTTTGACTACCAGTTTGTCTTTTGTAGGGTAGTTGTTCCTAATTTTTAGCATGCTTGTAGCTGATTTTACCACTTTGTTATTAAGCAGCTTCAAGCAGAAAACATGGTATAGTCATCCTGCTTTCTTCATAGATATGAGAAAGTGGGTGTCAAGGAGCTGTCAGTTGCTGAACAGGCTTGTTTTGATAACAGAAGTCTTTGAAAAAATGTCTACATTTTTTAAAAAAGTAATCTGAATACATATTTAATTCAATCCTAACACATACCTAGAAAGCTATTAGTTTATCCTATGCAGGTGCCACAAATGCTGGTTTCTTTTTGCAGTGCTGCTGTTATTTGAATTATAGGTCTGTGATTGGTTATTCATTTAGGTACAAGTTCAGGAGGAATTGATTTACTTACAGATCTTAATTAAAAGGTGCAGTATAATTTTTTTTCCTTTATTTTGGTTTGCAGAATTCTGATTTACTGGAGCATGATGTTAAGGCTTTGAATAATGGTGTTGCTTTTTTTTCTGCTGTCATAGGGGATGGTAGACAACCTCTTAATTTTGACAAGTCTTGGGAGATTTATATGTCTCTATTTTTACATAGCAAATACGGATTTCTCTAGAATGATAAAATTCAGCTAAGGGAAGACATTTCTGAATTACTTGCTAGGAAACATGTCCACGTTTCTTCATGAACCTGGCACATTTTTCTCTTGGTGGACTAGAAGGCAGTGAAGGGAACAGGATACTTAGGCTATACTTGAGCAAGAATTGGGCATCTGCTGGCTGAGAAGCCTAGCTCAGGAAAAAAAAAGAAATTCTGCATGCTGTTACTGTTCTTGGGCTCTTTTTGGCTTCCAGGAAGAGGAAAAGCTGCCTGCACCACAGAAATGATTGTGTGGTGCCCAAGCTAAAACCAGGAAAGGCCACACCTCTCCTTGACCCTAACAGCACATTCATGGAGGGTAATGTTAGGTGCAAGAATCATTCCCCCTCCATCTGGAGGTGATCCAGAGCACTGGACCATATCTCTCTGAGTTATTGTTTGTAGTATTTATCTTCTTGTTGATGATGAGACTACACTGAAGTGACCATGTTCCTATTTGAAGCATCTAAATGTGTGGGAGATTCAGTCTGGAGCCCACTCATGTTATTTTGTCTTTACCTTTTCTTCTGGGTGCAAAATTTCTGGATGAGTTGGATAAGTGGTACTAGAAAAAAAAAAAAAAAAAAAAAAAAATCAGTCTGCTTTTTATTATTCCCTGCCTAGACATTATTCTAGAATTTGGTGCTGAAAGGAAGCAAAAACATTTTCATGGATAAATTGCTATTTAGTCTCTCCTTGGCATTACAGCCCATAAAATCACAGCACAGCCTTTCAAAAGCAGAGCTGATCTGTGAGGAAACTGTTCTATTCCCTTCCCTTCAGACTGCATCTGCTTGGTCCAGTGGGCACCTCAAAACATAATTGCATGAGATACAAGTAAATCAAGAACTGTAAGAATTTGTAGGTAAAGGATAAAGTATTTAAATGAGTGATTGGTAATTGAAATTAGCTATTGGAATAATACCAAAACAAGCTATGCAACTACTGCAATGAAAATATACTGACAGCACAGCACTGGCGTGTGATGCAGATTATTTTGTTTGCATCTGGTATTTAATATCATGCTGGCTAGTTATTCACTAGTTTGGAACATGAACATATTGACTAAAAGGTTTGATAAACTGTAGGATTATTAACATTCACTTTGTAATTTTATGATGTGTGATATTTTTCAACATTTTGAAGTTATTTTTATGGTTTAAACTTGGAACATTGTAGCAAAACACCAATATATTGGCAGATGCCCATAAATGCATGCAGAAAGGATAAAAAGTTTTTTTAATATTGTTACAATTAATGAGCACATTCTCATTTGATTATTGAAGGTTAAATTTAGAACAACTGTCATCCTGTCGCTGTGCTAATACTAAAAATAATTCATAAAAGCTTGGTAAGGTGCATGCTCTGTGGAATATTGCTTTGCCTTAAATACTTGCAGTGCGGTAATTGGATTAAACTCAAATTTGTGTTGTTTATTAAATTTGGATTGCCAGATTCAGAATGTATACCTTATTTTGTGTTGCCGTCTTCAATAGGTATTGGAAACCCCATTGTCTGACTATTGGAAACTTTAATTTTTGTCACTAAGAATTTTCTGTCGCTAGACATTAACTACAATTTCTTCTGTCTCTAACAGCTGGACAACCAACCTCCATGTGAAGCAAATGAAGATATGAAACCACTGTTGCAGATAAAAGAAGAGGTGATTGCTGCTGATGTAGATCTATAAATATATATATTGTGTGTGTGTGTTTTTTCTAAGAGTAACTCTTGCTTGTCTAGTCTTCATAGCAACTCATTGTATTCTTCATATAACTTTATTTATAAGAAAGTAACTGCAGTAAGGAAATATCTGGGGAAAATGCTTTCACTTTTTCACCTTCAAGTACTGAGAGCACAAGGGAGAATAAGTATATTTTCAGTAATAACTTCAAAATATTTTTGAGGCTTATAATCAACTAGTTGACTTTCCAGTAGTTTATGAAGAGGGTATTTCGTTTCTAAGCTCTTGGATGAGCGTTAGAGAAATAGCTAATATAAATATATATTTGCAATTGCTGTCTTTATTTTTGACATATACTGAAAGTGAATTCTCTAGGTTAATATGAAGCTGCATTTAAATGCACACAAATGTGTTTGCTTTCCATATACTGGTTTCTGAAATTATGTGCTTTTTTGAAACTTCAATACAAAGAATAATCTGTTTTCTCAGTGGGGTTGGCATAATATTCTGTGGAATCCATTTAAGGGGAAGAGTTCTCTGTTCCCCATTGGAAAATGTAACTATCACTTTTTCCTCCACAAACTGAGCGGAGAATGGTTGTTGAATTACAGTATATTTGTAAATAAAATTTCTGATGTTGCATTTATTAGGTCTTTTTATTTCTATCCTGCTAAACATGTGTTAAGGTGATTTGCTGAAATATAAAATTGTTTGAATTCCATCTTGGAGAAGTTTTTTTTAAAATGAAAGGTTTAAGATATCCACCTAAGTATGTGCAAGAAAAATAGTTCTTGCTTTTCTCTTTTCTTTTACAGTAGACTTCAAATTTTTTATGTAGCTCTCCCATCAAGCCTGCTCTCACAGTTCTGTAGGAGCCTGGGGTCCTCTCTGCTGTGTATGGAAGAAAGTTGCTTCTCAGAGAGCTATTCAGAATAGGAACCCAAATTAGGTGCGGTGCAGATCTGGCTCTCAGTTAAGGCACATACCTAATGGAGATGGTGTGGATGCCCCTCTACATGGGCTAGTTTTCCAGCTTCAGCTGCCTTTTATGGTAGCCAGCATCAGACTATGAACAACTGCCACACTCCTCGCTTCCCTCCTCAGTAAATTCCCCGCAGTCCCCATCGCCAGTCCTGAAATACACTGACACCCTGTGAGGCACAGCTGGGTTTTGTCACAGGCAAGGTTTCTGAGCCTAGCCTATCCAGGATTTCCCCTCTCCCAGCGTTGTGTTCTGCAGCAGAGCTGCGGGGAATAGTCAAGGAGGGCCATGCCATCGTTTGCATCTCGAGCCTAGTTGTGTTGCCCTGTCCCTGGGAATCATTTGAGCATGGAAATCACTTAGGGGTGAAGAATGGAGGGAGAGAAGAAAATCCGGCAACCTTTGGTCTTCAGTGCTGCTAGAGATGCCTGACTGGTGATCTGCAGCGACTGAGTCAGGATGGCTTTCCCTGCTAGTGCCAAGTATTTCCATGTGGTCTCCAATCTTCTTTTCCCACAAAATATCTGTGAAAAATTGGATTGTTTCATTAGCTTGTACCAAATTGCTTGTGAGCAAACAGTGAATGGAATTCTGTATTTAGCGTGGCTCAAAGAGCTGAAGCTGGTGGCATTGAAGCTGGGTTTCTCACACTTGTTCAAGGCCTGGTTTAACAACACTCCTTCAAACCTGCCTTTGCTAATTTGAGTTGGCTAATGTGAGCAATAAGAACTCCTTCCTCCTCCCCTTCCCTAGGAGGGGACCAGGCAGAGAAACCCACCATATGAATGCTCTATCAGTGTATTTTGATCCTCACTGAAGTATTTGGAGTGTGGTGGGCTCTGAAGTTGTCTGCAAAGCCAATTGTTCTGTAGCAACACAAGATGGCAGTGTGTGAGTGCAACTCAGTTAAAAAAACCTTTATGTGGTTGTAATCCTGTATAAAAAGGGTCACGTTTCCTAAAGGATACTAAATTTGCAATGTAATGAGAGTTGTAGAAAGGACCTTCTCTTAATTTTGGGCCTTTCTCTCCACTTGGTGTTGTGGAGGTGTGATGTGCAACTAAATCTGAACAGTCTCATTTGATTTTGCTGTTTCATGAACTGACAGCTACTTAAACAGTACTAAGTAGGGATAGCCATAAAGAGAACACTTCTTAGGAAGAAAAATAAACTAGATGATTTCCAGTGGAGGGTTTTGCTGTATTTTGTTGGATCCTTTTTTAAGATGCTGATCAAGGAAAAAGAATCATTTGCTCTCCCTCAGTTCATCAGCTTCAGCCATTGATGCTTAAGGTTAAAACCCTTAAATGCATGTGCCAACAGGTGAGCTAGACCTCTGAACTACTATTAAAATCTGATTGACTTCCGGGCTCTGCACTGTTCTTTGATCTCAGGTGTCTGGTGTTGTTTGGGAAGTTGAGTGTATAGGACAGACATCCACTCAGGGCCAGGGGGGATATGGTGCAGGCCTGGGAGATACTTACAGAGTCATAGAATTGTTCTGGTTGAAAGAGATCGTCAAGATCAAGTCCAGCCATTAATCCAACACTGCCAGGTCACCACTAAACCGTGCCCTAAGCATCACATCTACACATCTTTTAAATACCTCTGGAGATGATGTCTCCAACACTTCTCTGGGCAGCCTGTTCAAGTGCTTCACTACCCTATAAGGTCTCCACTTAGTGGCCTTTTCTCCAGGCTAAACAACCCCAGTTCTGTCAGCCAGTCCTTGTAAGACTTGTGCTCTAGACCCTTCATCAGCTTCGTTGCCCTTCTTTGGACCCACTTCAGCACCTTAATGTCCTTCTTCTAGCGAGGGGCCTAAAACTCAACAGTATTTGAAGTGCAGAGGGATGATCACTTCCCCACTCCTGCTGGCCACGCTGTTTCTGATACCAGCGTCTTGGCCACCTGGGCACACTGTGACTCATGTTCAGCTGGCTATTGACTAGAACACCCAGGTCTCTTTCTGCCAGGCAGCTTTCCAGACACTCTTCCTCTGTAGCGGTCCCTGGGGTGGTTGTGACCCAAGTGCAGGATCCAGCAGTAGACCTTGTTGAACCTCATACTGCTGGCCTCACACCAGCATGCCTGTCCAGATCCCTCTGTAGAGGCTTCCTACCTTCAAGCAGATCAGGACTCCTGCCTAACTTGGTGTCATCTGCAAATGTACTGAGGGACACTTGATGACCTCATCCAGGTTAGTCAAGCAAGGTCTGCTTTTCATGAATTCATGCTGACTGGGTCTGATCATCTGGTTGTCCCGTATATGCCTCATGCTGCTCCTCAAGATGATTTGTTACATAATCTTCCCTGGCACCAAGGTCATGATGACAGACCTATAGTTCTCCAGATCCTCCTTCTGTCCTTTCTTGTACATGAGTGTCACATTTGCTAACCTCTAGTCCACTGGGACGTCCCCAGTTAGCCAGCAGTGGTGATAAATGATGGAAAGTGCCTTGCTTATAGAACATTGTCTGCTTCTTGGTCCTGGTTGAAAGGTCAGTAACAGTCTCTCACCATGATACCTGCCTCATTGTCCTTCCCCCTGAGTCTTACCTGTAGACACTCAACACTATCATCACCATTATCATGCTCAGGACAATCAAAGCACTCCCTAACATACAGGGCCATTCCACCACCTCTCCTTCCTGGCTTATCCCTACTGAAGAGTTCATAAATCTCCAGTGCAGCACTCCAGTTGTGTGAAGCATCCCACACATGTTTCCCTGATGGCAACTATAGTGCAGCTTTCCTGCTGTACAATGGCTTCCAGCTCCTCCTGTTTGTTGCCCATGCTGTGTGCACTGATGTAGATGCACTTCAGTTGGGCTATTGATCCTGTCAGCTTTCTGAGGGGAGAAGGCCTAATTGCCAACTGACCATTCCCAGGTGCTTCCATGATTTTTAGCCCATCAGTCTCCCTTCTGTCTTTGCTGTCACATGGCACTCCATCCCCTACCTCCACTGAGATGGCAGACTTAGGGACCTTGCTAGCACGCCACCCTGCAAACACTGATGTGCTGCCCCAAGCTTATCTCCAGCAAGCCAGTCTTCTCCCCTGTTCCACTTCAAAACTAGTGCAAAGCTTTTTTTTATGAGCCCTGCCAACTCGTGCAGCTGCCAGTGCAGGTCTCATGGGATGCTTTAGAGCGTCTGAAAGTACAGCAGAAATTCATGAGCAAGCAATTGAATAAAGCTCAGTTCCCTACAGACATTGAAGCAAAGGTGTGATTTCATGGGCCAGTAAATAGGTGCTCACTGTCAAGTGGGGTGCTTGGCTGTCTAAGCTTCACTGACTTTAAGAGGCATGTGGACCCTGGCTCACGTGTAGACACCTACATCTTTGTATGCCTATATTCACCTATCTTAGTGCTGACTGAATTTTTAAAAAAATATTTAAGCACCTCTGATTCAGCTAAATCCTTCATCTACCCTATCTTTAGGATCACTGGCTTTCAGCTAATTGCAATGTACATTTGAATATGGCTTTGGAACTGAGTGGTCTACAGATAGCAGCTCTGGATGTTTAAATGAAATGGCACTTCAACAGCAGAAAATATTTTGTGTAATACCAAGGGTGAACTTAGTGTGGGTTTTCTGTAAGCATCTCAGTGGAATTCAAGGTCTTGCATATGCTTTTAGTCTTGCTGAGACTTTTTAAAGATTTATTTTTTTTTTAATCTAAGATTTGTCAGAAATTTGAAGCTCAATTGCCCATGCATTCATCTCTTCAGGCAAGCTGCAGCACCACAGGCAATGGTGGTTAGTGGCAAGATTTATGCAGTAAGCCCTTTGTTAGAGTCCGGTGTCTGAACTCAAAGCTCACGCTGATAGCAGAAATGGGCAGAGCCGGTCTCATTATTTTCACAAAAGTACCTCACAGATGAACCCCAAGGAAGGTCCAAGTGGTAAGTTCAACACTTCCCTTTAGGTAATAGCTGTTGTTACAAGGCCCACCTTTTCACTTGCAGAGGTTAAAAGGCTTTGAAATCTGACAATTTGAGCTCAACGTGAAAACTGGTGTGCTTGCAGCAGTGCTTTAAATACCAACCGATCATTTGTAATGGATTAGCAAAACCTGTGCCATGGCTTTAATGGAAGGCTATTAGCAGCAGGCATAATTACATGAAAGAGCAGTTTCATGCTGGAAGCTCTTTGGTATTTTCGTTTTAGCTCCATGCTTCTTGGGAGCTAGGGGCGCTGACATAGAACAACACAGGAGGATGATGTAGAGCCCTTGCTCACCAAAGGAATATTCTAGGGTGAGTGGCAGGGCATCAGTTTATTAAAGCTGAAGAATTTTTTAATTGGTTCAACCTACTGGAAACATACTTGCCAATTAAGTATTTGCTGTAGGCAAGACACTCAAAAGAGATGTGTCGTGCAAGGGGAATTATCGACTTCTGCAGGTTTGCCTTAACAGTCAACATTGTGCAAAGAACCAAAGCACTTGTGTGGTTTTCAGCATACAAGGTGGTGTGTACACACAGATTCTCTTTATTAATTGTAACAGAACAAAGAAAGAAAATGCTAGGGCCATTGAATGGACAATTTGTAAATACAAGCTAGTGAGAGCAGGCTTGAGCCAGCACAGCGTGCCATCTTACATGGTGTTTTGCAAGTGGCTGTGCCAGAGCAAGTGTTTCTGATTCCCTGAACTG